GTGAACCGCATCACGTGCTCTGGATCACTGATACCCCTCTCCACGAGGAGGAAACTCCGATGCCGGACCAGCCGACCTCGGTGGCCACGGTGGTGGCGCGCTTCCTGCGCGACCACGGGGTCGACCGGGTCTTCGGCCTGCAGGGCGGACACATCCAGCCGATCTGGGACCAGCTGGCCCGGCTCGGCGTACGGATCGTCGACGTCCGCGACGAGGGGTCCGCCGTGCACATGGCGCACGCGCACACCGAGCTGACGGGGCAGACCGCCGTCGCGATGGTCACCGCCGGGCCCGGGGTGACCAACACCGTCACGGCGGTCGCCAACGCCTCGGTCTCGCGGATCCCGCTCCTGGTCATCGGTGGCTGCCCGCCGATCCCGCAGTCGAACATGGGCCCGCTGCAGGACATCCCGCACACCGCGATCCTCGAGCCGATCACGCGCCTGGCCCGCACGCTGCGCAGCGCCGACCAGGTGCTGCGCGAGTTCGACGAGGCCTGGGCGCGAGCGTCGGGCGACCGCGGCGAGCCGGGCCCGGTCTACCTCGAGATCCCCACCGACGTGCTGCGCCGCGACGTCCCGCCCGCCCTGGTGATCGACGAGCACCTGCGCGCCAAGCCCCGCAGGCGTCCCCAGCCCCACCCCGACGACGTGGCCGCGGTCGCCGACCTGATCCGCGGCGCGTCGAAGCCGGCCGTGATCAGCGGCCGGGGGGCCCGCACCACCGATGGCACCGAGCTCGTGCGGCTGCTCGACGCGAGCGGCGCGGCGTACCTCGACACCCAGGAGAGCCGGGGGCTCGTCCCCGACACCCACCCCGCGGCCGTCGGCTCGGCGCGGTCGGCGGTCATGCGCGACACCGACCTGCTGATCACGGTGGGCCGTCAGCTCGACTATCAGCTCGGCATGGGCTCGCCGGCGGTGTTCCCGCACGCCCGCGTCGTCCGCATCGCCGACACCGCGAGCGAGCTGATCGACAACCGGCGCGGCGAGGTCGAGATCCTCGCCGAGACGGGGGCCGCGCTCGGGGCGGTCGCCGACGCGCTCAAGGACCACACGCCCGACACGACGTGGCGCGACGAGCTCAAGGCCAAGCACACCGACCGGGCGAAGCGGTACCGCGAGGGCCTGCACACCACCGAGAACGGCTCCGACGGTCGCATCCACCCCAACCGCATCTTCGGGGCGCTCGACGCACTCGACGGCGACGCTCTCGACCTCGGCGAGACGATCATGATCGCCGACGGCGGCGACCTGCTCTCGTTCGCCCGTCTCGGTATCACCCGCTGCGCGCGCTACCTCGACGCCGGTGCCTTCGGCTGCCTCGGCGTCGCCACCCCGTTCGCGATCGCGGCGTCGCTCGCGCACCCCGAGCGGCCCGTGATCGCGGTGACCGGCGACGGCGCCTTCGGCATCACCGCCACCGAGATCGACACCGCCGTGCGGCACG